GAACTGTGTGCGACATTCGGAGATCAGACTTGGGTTGGACTTGGCTACCTCTATGTCCCTCCCCCTTCTCTCTCACATGTCTATGGATCTCTCCCCATGTGTGTGAGCGGAAGGGCAATCTTTCTGGTGTCTTGCCCTTCCAAAGTTTTCTCCTTTTCATGTTGTTGTCCACGTGTATCTTGATACTAAATCTTCCGCTGCGCTGCTTCACAGCCCATGATGATAATGATACGAATGTGTTGTTGTTGATTTCTCGTTGGGTTGCTCTTTGCATCATGCACATTGACATCTTGTGAATGCTGCACCTATGCTGCTGGTTGTTGCCACTTTCGTCATTGCTAGATCCTAGGCTGTCAGTGCATTTCACTTTCTGATATGCTACATCTTTCTTTTTTGCACACATAAGGGCAGGCAAGACTCTTTGCAACCTTTTTTCCCCCTTCGTTCGCACTCTGTTACAGATCGGGATGATGATGATGATGATGACGACCCTCATGAGGTCATCATCATCGGTGTGATCATGATCACTCAATGAGCAGATGCCAACCAGTCAAGGGGCGCTGAACATTGGGGTATGCAACACTGCCAAACACCCTATTTCGTGAACCATTTGTCAGCAGCCTGCTGCGGCGCAGGGCGAGGGAATTTGCAGTGACCTCGAGAGATTACTGCAAATTCCTTTTCCTTTGCGGAATTTATGTGTGAAAATACTAAAAGAAATCGAACACAATGATATTGGCGCTATGACAATTTGTAATAGGGAATTTGGGCGAATGGGTGCCGGTGTGGAGTGGTCAGACGCACGCGAGTTTTTTTTGTTTGTATCCCTCAGTGTTCGCCTTGTCTTTAGCCTGGGCCATCACTTTGTATTGATGTGCCACGCTAATGTCAAGGCGCTTGATTTCCATATCGGCCTCCGACGTGATGCACGTGTGTTTCCACATTTTCACGTATTCCGCCCGCTTCCAATTGGTATGTGTGTGGGCTTTGAGTTCCTCAATGTGTGTATGGGCTTTGTGTTCCTGGACATCATTTCGGCTGATGAGGACGTGTGTCTGATATGTGTATTACTCCACAGCGCAGTGTATGTATCTGGTGCCAAAACCAGTTCAGATGCACTCATCTTCTTTGTGTTCCGTGCTTGACTACACAGCACAGTGGATGTATCTGGTCCCAGAACCAGTTCGGACGCTCATTGTACTTGAGAAAGAATGTGATGGTCCCTCCTCAACCAGTTCCGTGCTTGACATTGCAGTGCATGCATCTGGTCCCAGAAATGACAGCTATGCATTACATTACCTTTCTATCCACAGCCGTGCGTGTGAATGCTTGAACACGCGCGCAGCATCCACTCCGTGACAACCACCGACGCAAAGGGCTGCATACATTGGTGCCATCGCCACGTTGCACTGACAACATGGCGGTTTCACAGTGCACATGCATCCGTTTCTCTCCACGCTGGCAATCCCATGGAGTTCAATATTCTTTCTTTTTTTGAATTATTTATTTATTTGTTTATTCATTTATTGCTTTCTTTGTTTCTGGAGTACTATTTCATGTATAATCCCTGTATCGTAGTCCTCATACGTTCGCATTTCAAAGTAGTATATAGTATATACAACATGGGATTGTGGAAGCACATTCCCGCTGTCCCGTGCTCTTCACCCATCGTGCATCGGACATGCACATGTATCTGGTCTGGGATATGGGCAATGTGCATTCCGTTTGGGAACACATTCATGTGGAACGACTTCGGACAGATAAGCCAATCATCGCCTGGCTATGCTTGCCACATGCAGAGTGTGATCTCGCAGAGGCGTGTGCCTCTGTCATCCAGACTCCAGACCATGGATGCCAGACAACCTTCTGTGTTTTTCCTAACCTAGGTTTTTCCCCCCCTACCGTCACACATCCCGAACTTAGTGGTGAAACTCTTCCACAGTAACAATACTTTAGAGGAAGCTCTATGGGAAAATAATTCAAAATATTAAAATAACCACACACACACACACACACACACACACACACACACACACACACACACACACACAGATCGCTCGTTGGCAAGGTATGTGGAAGGCGAACACACCCACGAGTAATTGCAGATGTCGCGAAATTAGTAGTGCTCGTGCTTCGACCAAGCTTTGAATTCTTCCCCGCCTCCTCTTCCACCTGAGCCACCGCTTCTCTAACCTGTGCGAAGATCTCTGCTGTTCTGAGGTGCATGCCTCAACCAACCATATCCAGCCACAGAACAACACCCACAACAAAACAAATCACCATACTCTCCCCCCACTCCAACCACAGAGAACAGCCAAAACGTGAAGACACTTTAGTACTGTCATTTTTTTTGACCATTTGAAAGAAACTTCCGCGCACTGTTATTGCAAAACCGGCACATCTCATCCATAAGAAGTGGTGGTGCTTTCCAGCTCGCGCCAGGTGTTAGGAGCCGAGGTACTGTTCCCCACACAGAACAGCCCGCGGAATATGCTGTGGCGAAAATTTAGAGGCCCGGAATCGCCATAACCCCAGCGTCCCAGGCTGAGCTAGTGGGAGGTATATCGAGAGAAGAACATAGGTCAGGTAAAAAAATATATATATAACTTGATCTGAAGCACAGAGTGAGGCACATGGGCTGATGTAGCAGATACTTGTACCGACGACATTTTTCATTTTAACCACCATCCCTCTGAAGCCTCTGTTTCCTTCCTTCCCCGGGTTGCAACTGCGTGCCAAAGGGAAAAAAGAACCGACACGGGCGCAAAATATTTCCTTTCTAGATGGTGCCGCCAGCCATTTCGGCCCTGGTAGGTCCACCCCTGTTTATGCGCCGTTAAACCACCAGTACTTCCTAAAGTCGTGCCTCCTGTTAACAAGCCACGATTTTAGGACACATACGTACGGGCCACTACAGGAGCACCCAAATTCATCCGACTAGAAATGTTTCTAACTTTCTACTCTATGTTTTTCCACGAGCGATAGGTGGGCCAAGTACTGGTGGCTTAAACCACCAGTTCACACAGGGTCACTGTTCATCAAAAACTTGTAGACGGCGACCGGGCCTCACCCGTTCGGCCTAGGGTCAGTAGACCGGCGGAAGGGCGAATTGGTGGTGGGACAACTAAATAACGGGAAGTTCCATTCACGACCTGCAATGACGACTCTCCGTGGGCAAGTACTTCAGAGGTGAAAAACGAGAACGAATCTTGCCCTCGAAATGAGAGGACACAGCACCTCAAAAAAAAAAAAAAAAAAAAAAAAAAAAAGAAGGCTCAGATACACAGTAACATACGTTCTGTCTTTTCTGGATGTGTAAGAGCGTGAGGAGAGGCCCAAGTCGGTCGATCATGAATCTTCCCAAAAACAGACTGGAAAGATGCCGCACCTCAGGGATAAAAAAGAAAAGATGGAAAGAGAGACTGCATGTTCTGAGTTTTGTCTTTTCTGCATGTGGTAGGTGTGTGGTGAAGGCCAAGTCGAGAATGAATCTTCCCAAACAAATGGACAGATAGAGCGTCTCAAAAAAAAAAAAAAAAAAAAAAAAAAAAAAAAAAAAAAAAAAAAAAAAAAAAAAACAAACAAACAAACAAACAGATACACAGCTGAAAACTTGTGAAAAGGCATTCACGAGGACACCGGATCTCTCCATGGTCTAGGGGAAGATTCATTCGCATATTGCACATCTGGTGGTGAGTGGTGAAGCCACGATGAAATGACACCTGCCTTTGTCGCATGCGCTGCTGGTACCGGTGGAACCTTCAAATTGCCAACTCGCGGTACCCATTCAAAGCAGGCTCGGCAAAATAGGTAGGTGCGGGTGACCACCAATACCTCCACGGTTTTGGGCCACTAACGCGGCGGCTGAATCGGTGCGCCATACGGGTCCATATGCATTTGCATCAGAGCCTCCCGAGAGGGGGCCTAAGAGACCCCCTGGGGTACTGGTGATTTAACCACTGTGTTCAAACAAAACAGCTGAGAAGGGGTTGCTGGTTTAACTAAATCTGGTTAATACCACCCGTACTCAGACATAACCACACCATTCAAACATCTGGATTGGTTCCGAGCAGTTGTGAACACTAGGTTGTTTACCCTTTCCATACTGAGCTCCCAATATCCTCAATCGTCTGCCCAACAGTCTCGAGCGATTCCTGCATTCACCCAAAGAAAGAAACACATTCCGAAAGAGGAAGGGCCAACGCAGCACAATTTGTCAAAAAAAAAGATAACTTGAAAAAGGAATACGGAGAGAAACAGTGCACTGCTACTGATTACTGTTATTAGACAGTATGTAGGTATAAGACGTGAACGACGGATATCTTACCAGAAGCATAAAGACATAAGACTGTTCGGGCTAAAGAGCAAGCAGAGGTGGAAGTCGAACATAGTCAGCAAGAAGAGATGGGAAACCAAAAGAACAGAGGACAGAGTGACAATAGTCATCTCACAAAATCAGTTACAAAGACAGTGAAGAGACAGGAGAGATCGGAATACGAGAAGGAATGAAGCGTGTATCACAAGAGACGTACGCAGCGGAAAAACAGTTATTTAATGTCTGTGCCAAAAACAGACACAAGGTCCAGGAAGAAAAGGAGAAGTGGAAGAAAAGGAGAAGTGGAAGAAAAGGAGAAGTGGAAGAAAAGCAGAAGCAGAAAAGAGGGAGAATAAGACTCTCATATAAGAAGAAAAGCAGGAGCCTGGAAGCAAACGCTGAAGCAGAAGGTAAAGGCAATTCTAGGCGACACAAAACAATTCCAGAAATTGCTTGTCAAAGCTCTAGCCAATGAATGAAACCAAAGCTTTTAGTGGAACGTGTCACCCGAACAATAATTGACCAGAAAGGGAAAGACAAAGAAGTAACAAACTCCACACTAGGGTGGGTGGGCCAGGTGGTGTGAATTTGAACTATGTGACCAGCAATCAAGCAGGAAGTGCGCTCCACCTGTCTGCCTGCCTGTCTGTCTATCTACCTATATGTCTGTCTGATTGTCTTTCAGTCTGCCTGTCTGTCCCTGTCTGCCAGTTAATCAGTCTCTTTATCCGTCTGCGTGTCTGGCCCTCACCGTGTATCTTGAAACAGTGAAACCGCATGACTGTTGTAACAGAACGCTAGCAGACAAGGACGGTTCATATCATCAGTTTGTGACACATTCTGGTACCTCCAGACCTCCAGTGTTGCCATCTGGGAGTTTTTGACTCAGACTAACGACTCAATCTCAATATGGACCAACTTCAATAAAGACCGACACGGTGACAGAAGGCAGTGAGACATTGGTCACATCCTCTCTCTCTCTCTCTCTCTCTCTCTCTCTCTCTCTCTCTCTCTCTCTCTCTCTCTCTCTCTGTGTGTGTGTGTGTGTGTGTGTGTGTGNCTCTCTCTCTCTCTCTCTCTCTCTCTCTCTCTCTCTCTCTCTCTGTGTGTGTGTGTGTGTGTGTGTGTGTGTGTGTGTGTGTGTGTGTCTGTGCGTGTCTGTGCGTGCGCGCTATCATGTTTGCGAAACACAACTCCACAAAAAAAGCATGACCGTGCGACCAACTCATCAGGAGGTTGAACCCCAACAGTCTGCCCAGGATGTTCACTATAGACAAGTCCATTAAAAAAAAAGACAGGACTGTTCCAGATTGGTTCGTGGGACTTTAACTGACTCATCAGGAGGTCCAACCCTGACAGTCTGCCCAGGATGCATTGGACTGATGTGTGCATGTGTGCACGCATGCATTGGACATTCATCAAACAAGAACACAGGTCACCGTATACAGACACAAGCACACCACAAAACAAATCTACCTTGCGCTGCATCTCGAAACCCTCCCACTTTACAATCCCATTGCCTTTGTTGCAGGGCAAAGCTGCAACACCTCCACGTAGATCATATTATTGCCTTTGGTACCACAGATCATATTCTTCTCATTTACATCTTAGCATGAGTGCCTGTCCAACAGAGAATGGAAGTTTTTGTTGTTTTGAAGGAGGCGAGGTGAGACGGGGGGAGAGGGGGGGGGGAAGAGGAGGTCAACAGGACTGGGAGAAAACAAAAATGGGGAAAAGGTAAAGAAAAAGAAAGAAACCAGAAAAGAAAAGAGAACTGCAGCACTTCTTGAGAGGAGTGGCACTGTTAACGAGCTGCAAGGTTATAATGAGTGAAAGATTTCACCTCAAGAACCTCTACCACCTCCCCTGCCGTCTTCGCCGCAACCTGCTGAGACAGCAAAAGCAAGAGGAAACGAACACGCAAAACCAATTTCATTACTAAGCAACCAACAGCGACAAACTCGCAGAGCAGTGGGAAACAATGAAAATCTAAAGGGAAACATCAAAGGCAGCAGTCCCAGCTTCCCCACGCCCCAACAACTTGAAATTTGTCTGCCTTTCTGCTTACAGCATCCCACCAATACATCTTCTTCTTGTGTCTGCCTTTCTGCTTACACCATCCCACCAACACATCTTCTTCTTGTTTTATTTCCCTCTTTCCCTCCTCCTTCATAGACCCCTTTTTTCCTTTCATACCTTCCCAGTGCCCAAGGCCAGAAGTCAATGTGGTCTGATACGAAGTAAACAGGAGTCAACTGGCCTCTGCAGGCCAAGTCTCCCTCCTGTAGCATTTTTCTGTTATTTATTGTCACTACCTCCCTATGCAAGGAGGTAGGTCCTCGGCATGCACTTGAGAGGCCCTTACAGCAAGCATGTTCCCCCCTAAGTGATGATGTGATTTGTATTTTGCCTCGGCCACTGGGCCCTGTTAATCAAATAGCAATTTCAGGTAAAAAATAAATATATAAATAAATCAAATTCTCTTTTTTTCCCTTTCTTATGGAGTTTTATTCGTTTTTTCTTTGCCTTTCTTTCTTTCTTTCTTTCTTTCTTTTTTTCTTTACTCTCTTTCTTTTTTTTCTAGGCTACCAGAGTGGCCTGGGACCACTTGCCCGGCCGGGCCAAAAATAATATATATATCGTCACAAACAGATATATATATTTTGGTAAAAAGCTTCAATGTGACCCTGAGGGAAAAGTTGTTCAGTTTACTTTTCTGCATAACGTTTTCTTTTTGCAGATTTTTTGGAATTCTTTTTTTTTTTGCTGGGACCTTCTTTGGTCCTTGAACGGACGGGTCAGTTGGGCAAACAAGCTGACCTGGGCAGCCCGGCTGGTAGCTTTTTTTCTTTCTTTTTTCTTTTTTTTTCCCTTTTTTCACTTCTCCTTTCTTTTTTTGTTTTTCTCTTTTCTTCTTTTTTTTTGCTTTTTCCCTATGAAGATTTCCATGACCGGCCGGTCACCCGGGATACCCAGACTGGGGAAAATTCAAAAAAAAAAAAAAAAAAATGGCGGTGGCGGTTTTCCGTGCTCTCCGAGAGGAGCCCAAATCCAGGCTCTTTTCTTTTTTAGAGTATTGGCCATCAAGGGGGGGAAAGGGGAGTATACATGAATTTTAAAGGGGCAAAAGGGGTTTAAAGGGGGGGTGTCTCAGTGTGATTTGGTTATTTTCATTTTTATCTTCAGTTCTGTGAGGAATTCTGATATGACCCTCAGCAAAAAGTTGTTTGTATTCCGATTCTACACAACATTTTTTTTTCCAGATTTTTTCTGGTTTTCTTAACTTCTTTTCTTTTCTTTTCTTTTTGCGCTGGGGCTGCCCGGACCCATGTCCGGGGGTCATGCCCAGCCAGTCACCCAGTCGCCAAACCGGGCGTGATGTTGGGACCCGGGCGCCCGGGATATCTCCAAAGCTTTTTCCTTTATTTTCTTCTTTTTTCCCTCGCCTTCAAGCCAAGAGCGCCCTCCCTCAAATGTATTTGTTTTTCCCAAACAGTCGTGACTGACTTCTCTCGGCACCACTGTCCAATCTGAGAACGCCATCAACAGTTACCCACCTCTAATGTGTTGTGCACAGGCTGCCTGTCATCAACTCCCCCAGGATCTTCATCTGTTTCTGTGCCTTCCGTTCTCCTACGCTGTCCCGACAGGATCAAACACATCACGCAAGTGCACAAAACATCGCGCTGCAGGGTGAGCACCGAATTCCGCGCCAATCACAGGGTGACAGTTACATCAATACCACAGTCATGCCACGCGGCAAGGATATTGGAGGGGGAAGGGAAAGGGTTGGATCACAAACATCTTGGAGATTGACACCATGCCATCTGGAGGGGGGAGGGAATGGGTGCAATACACTCACAGAATTATTGGCGATACCACAAGAGAATAACATATAAACCATACTTGCGGCGCATGCCGTGCGCAGCGTCGCGGCAGGTGTGGCGCAGAGCGCACCGCGCAGCTGGCACGCGCACGGCATGCGCCGCATAGGGAAAATGAGGGGTCGCGGAAAAAAAAAAAAAAAATTCTGGGGGGGGGGATTAGGCCCAGGGGGATACCGGGGGAAAATGGCTGTTTGGGCGCGCAAAATTTTTCGAACTACTCAGACCTCCCCAACGTGGTTCAGGCCGAACCCCACTCGTCAGTTGGGCACCCCGGTAGTCAGCCTGCCCACCCGTTGCTGTTGCTCTCCTTCGGCGGCGGCCTGTTCTTCGTTGTCATCGTCGGACCAGCCCTTCAGCAGCAGCTTCCGCCATAGCTCGAGGACGAAACAGGAGGCAGCAGCAGGCAGCAGGAGGCAGCTCAAGCAGGCAGTGGGAGCGACAAAGCGTCCGTTCAGGTGGGC